ATATATATATATATATATATATATATATATATATATATATATATATATGTACATACATACATATATACAATGTACGCAACTATTTAATTAAATATTGTTCGAACGAACTTTGAAATCCAACAACAACAACGACAGAGTATCCAATGCGATTTTGATTGAACAATTTATAACACTTTTTGTTAATGATCGTTTGATTAAATACTCAATGTTGAGCACTTTATATACATATACATATGTCTGAATGTATATTATTAATGCCGCGTGCGGGCCACTTTGATAAAAGTACACACATTCGATACATATACATATGTATGTCAAATTGTATATACATGGTAGAGCAGCACTATTTGTGCTTAATTCGTTGTAATATTGTTACATATGTAGCATATAAACATTAACTCACTGATGACGACGCTCTGACTCTGACTGAACTCAACTGAACTGAACTGGACACTGAATGTGTTTGTCGTATCTGAAAACTGCCTTGGCGCTTGCTCGAGTTGCGCTCCTCTCTTTCGCTTTTTGCGCGCGCTCTCTCCCTCTCTTTTCTTGTTTCTGCTTCTCTCTGAGTAGCCGAGATTTCTGTACAGAACTTTAAATTCCGATGCTAGACAGTCAGTGGTTGACACACACACAAAGTCCATCGCACACACGCACACACACACAGATACAAATAGGTTCATCGTGTCGTGAGAGCACAATTTTGCTTTCGTTACCCATATTAAATGTGTAAGAGCGGCAAACAGAAAACTGTGCAGTGTGCTCTCATTCGCTCTCTTTACTCTCTCGCATTGACGCACTGAAAACAACCACTTAACGCACAATACGTGAATTCAATATAAACCATTCCATTATGAATTTTCCAGCCAACCCATAAATGTGTTCTCAGTTAAAGCGGGGAGTTATTCACACTCCATGCTCATCAAAAACAGAACAACCGAACACACAACACTTTTTATCACAACAATCCCAATTTGACGACGTCCCACGATAACGGATGGTTAGCGCTTGTAAATGACCAACTTCATTCGAATTTGAGATAATAAGATGTTGAAACTCGTGTCTTCTTACTTCATCTTGATTTACCAATCATCGAATTATATTTATTTATTTACTTTTTTTTTTTTAATTAATTAATTATATCATTTCTTACTTTTAGTTGATTAAAAAGTTTCACGGTTACTCTGAGATTACAGGTGATGATATATTTATGTATGGTTCTTAATATCAACGAGAGCTGATAATGTCTTTGTTTATATTTCATCTGGATTTGAAGTTGTAGTTGCGATCCTATCACACCTAATATTATAGCTCCAGACAAAGAACATAATGCAGTAAAGTTAATTGCTTAAAATCGGCAGATTCGAGAAATATCACACAAAACAAATTAAAATAATTATCATACCTCCAATCGAAAATCAAATCCGATTACAATTCGACAATTAAAACAATTAAAGCAAACGTACGTAACTGCAATTCACATACACGTATCGTTAGTCAGATTCAAAATGAGGCTTAATAAATTAGAATTGCATGCATTACACTAGTCAAGATTCAATTAATATTATTGTTTGAGATTGCGAGTTGATTCGGTTCAGCTGCCGTCAGGGTCGTCGCTGTAGCTGATTACGTAGGCGCCAGTCTCCATAGGACACAGTGGTGGCGCCGCCTGAGACTCGAACTGCTCCAGATCCTGCAGGAAGGTCAGGGAAGTGCGCTGGCAGCGCTGTCGCTGTCGTTGCGCTCTAGTCTGCAGCACAGCGCAAATATTAAACTGAAAGATCAGAATTAATATTGATTATATATTATTTAGTCAAAAGCTCTTTCAACTGTCCGAACTCACATTGTCTACGGGCGCCTCCTCCTCGTTGCACTGCAGCAACTGGGTGCGATGCAGCACGCAGCCGACGCGCTGCCGCTTGGCTGTGCTCTTTGTGAGTCGACGCATTACAACCACATCGAGCTCATCGTTGGCCGGCACGTGCTCATTGCCAAACTGCGCCTGCACTCCCGTCCACTCGTTCTCCGCATAGATTAGCTTGTCGAGTGGATCCAGCAGCTCCTGTGATGCCCTATGTGCCGCCTTCGTCAAGTAGGCAGCGGGATGCGCTGTCGGCGGACGCACACAATTGTTAATCTTCTCGAGCACTAGGCGATATATATGTAGCACCGGCTTGTTGTCCAGCACGCCCTGATCTAGGCCCCGTTGGTCGTCGCTGGCCAGCCGACGATCCTGCATGATTTCCAGCTCGCCCGACGCCAAGGAGGCGCCGCCCAACGGCTGTCCGGTTAGCAGAGTCAGCCGCATATTCGCATCCTCGATGAACATGGCCGAGGGCACTGGATAGTAGTTGGCCTGCAGCGGCAGCTTCTCGAATCGTTGTCGCTTGATCACCTGCAGTCCGTTCAGATCCGTGTAGAAGGTGCTGCCGCTGTCGATGTGCGTCTGCATGCGCATCACGACCTCGATGTTGTCGACGAGGCCAATGTCCACCAGGTTGCGTATTTCGGGTGCGTCACCACGCAGGATGGTCTGGTGGATGACGTGCGGCAAGCCCACGCTAACGGACGACTCCAGCTTGCCCTCGCTCACCAGGACAACAGGCGTGTTGCCCACAATGGGCGTGGCAGGTCCATTGGGCAGAAACAGATAGGCGCCGGACTTGTCACCGTGCGGTCGAGTGCCGTACTTTAGGAACTTGAGGTGCACGGGCACCGGGGCACTGTCTGGCGCTAGTTGCATAGACTTTAGCATGCCGAACTCCGAGAAGGCCAGCGTGGGTCCAGAGCCCACACGCAAGGAGAACTCGCGATGCTCTCCGAACTTTGCATCCTCCGGGTATTGGCCCAAACTGACAGACAGTGGATTGTTGTTTAGCAGCAGATGCGTGGCGTAGGAGGTGTGACTGCAATTGAAGATATATTATAAGGAGTTCTTAGATCACATCATATTTCATTACTTACGCGGGCTTTGAGCTTGAGATCGTCAGAATATATGTGGTTAGACCCATGGGCGGGACGCGTGCCTTAAAGATTATGCGATATTTGGTGGTAGATCCCTGCGGATTGAAAGTCTTGCCGATTGTATCGTGATGCCAGCTCCAGACGGGCGAGATCTGCGCCTCCACTGGATGGCCAGCCAAGTCGCTGACGCTGACAAACGGACTGGAAACATAGAAGTCGACTAGTTGCTCCCGCCAATGCGGAACGGTGTTGTGCAGGACAACATGCTTGGTGGGCAGCTCTTCCCCCAGTATAATTGTTGTGCGGCTCTCCTCGACCCCTACGCCGGGCCAGCGCGAATCGTCCAATGTGAAGTAATGGAAGTTAAAGTCCGCGCTGTAGATGGAAGGCTTGGTCAGCAGCCGGTAGACCGCCTGCTGCATGACGAACTGGCACGCCCACAGTGCCTCCACCATGCGCTTCTCGTAGTCCTGCATCACGTGCGTCTTGGCGGTGCCTGTGATGCCGTCGTGATGCTGGAACAGCGACATCTCTCGGCGCGCCATCTCCAGTTTCCGGTCAAAGCCCGCTGCCGAGTCCCAGTTGTGCCAGGCGTGCAGCATCTCCGCCGCTCGCACATAGTGCATGAGCACGCGATCCATGCGCTTGTGGTACGGACGCGAGGTGTAATAGCCGCTCCAGTAGTTGTCCGCCCTATCCGCATAGGTGAAGAAGTCACCGCTGAGCGATGGGAAGCTCTGCTTTGTTTTGTGCACTTCATCGAAGTATTCATTTAGTGTTCCAAACTGGGCCTGCACATTGAAGCGCGGATTGCCGTTGATGTGCTCGAAGAGTTTTTCGTAATTGACACGCTGCACATCCCACTCCACGTTCTGCTTGTAGCGAAAGTCGTCGCCCAGAGGAATCAGCAAGACATTGGTGCGGTACAGCTCGGCCTTCTTCTTCCACTGATCCACCAGCATGTCGGAGCGCGCGGCCACGTTGCTCTCGTCAATCGGACGTGGCGGCACTCGCCAGGGACAGCTTAAGCCGAAGCCGCCCATGCGCTTGAAGTCGAACTGACAGCACACCTTCGGATCCGGGCCACAAGTGTGTGGAATGTCATAGGAGTAAAAGGGCATCATGTGCGTGAAAATCGCATTCTTATCGCGCGTCTCCCACGTCTGGCGCCAGTAGAACTCCAGCTGTCGCCGCTGAGCCAGCTCCTTCTTGACCGAGTAGTGGGTGCGTTGGATTAGCATATTCTTCAGGCCACTTCTCTGCAGTATGTACGGCAGACTCGGACTGTGTCCGAACGGATCGATAGCCCAGCCGGCAGTTGGGGTCACGTTCAGATGCTCCTTCAGCCAGCTCTGACCCTCGGTCAACTGCAGCAGAACATTGCGCCAATGTGAATTTGCCTCATCGGGCATTACCCAACCGCCGGTGACAAACTCCAGCTGTCCCTTCTTCACAATCCTGTAAGAATATTAATTGACCATTATTTGAAAAGATAAAACGTATATCTCTGCATGCATACATTTTCATTTGCTTCTTCTTCTGCTCGCCCAGGTCTTCGAAAAATCGCGAAAAATAAGAAATCTCAGCCCAAATGAATTTCATGTCTGGATTCTCAGTCAGGTGACGCAATGCATTTGATAAGATGTGCTTCGTATCTGCAGGTAAAAAGAACAGATATATTAGCTTGTTAAAAGCAATTTGAAATTTGTCTGTCATTAAAAATGCTGATAAATTTCCAATTAGTTATCTTCTTAACAGATATGTGAAATTGGAAATGTGAGATATATAAGAACAACTATTATATTGTTATATATTGGCAAAATATATCAAATTAAATACAAATATTTTACAAAAGATATATATCTAGACATTATGCCTTATATATTATATTTAAATAAATATGTGTACATTATGTTTGTGAATTTTAATATTTATATCACACGTTGGCATCTACTGACGTGGAGTTTAAAGATAGAGCTAGACATGTTTTCGCCCCCTTCGAACTAACCAAATCAACTATTTTTATATTTTAATAATATAATACATATTTATATATAAACCATATATAGACAAATGCCACATTTGTAATTTTGAAGTTAAATTAATGGAAAGTCAAAGTTCAAAGTATCTACCAAATCAATTTTTTTCACATTCTGCAAAGGTAATTAAACTACTATTAAATAATAATAATCTGACACCTGCGGTACAGAGGTAAACAAATAAAATACTGAAAATCCAATTCATATCGTATATAAATCAATTCGCATGAGGGCATTCTCACCTGCATTATAGTATTCCTCGAATGTCTTTATCCAGCCGGGATCATTATGGGAGTGCGGCACAACGAATACTTTCAGCAGGTGATGTTGATTGTATTTGATGGGATCGTATTTGATGTTCCAGCCCTGTTTCCAGACGCCGCCATCGATGTCCGCGAAGGACATTTGGTCATATAAGTCCAGCATCTGTACATCCACTTGCGGCACCTGCTTAACAATGTCAGCACACATGCCATCGGCATCGTTGTCTCCATTGTTTATCGAATCCACGGCCAGACCATCCTCCATTTCATTTGTCTCAACTGGAGCTTTGGCTGGAAGCTGGCGTACATTTTGTATGTCGTTGTTTTTCTGTACTAATCTTTTTTCCAGCTGATGAAGCTTGTTCTCGAGTGCAATATAGGGTGGCTAAAAAATGCACGAAAAGATAAATAGCACACATAAACACACACACACACAGGTAAACATTACCTTTTTGGCATTGGCAGCCGGCGCCGCATAATTAAGGATTACATAGAGACTGAGAAAGATGAGGAGGCAGCCACAGCAAATGAGCAACGCAAAACGACGGCGAATGCGCAGCATGTTGGATTTAAATGAACATCGATGTTCACAGTGCTTCAAAAGTAGCCTAGCGGCTGCTATTTAACTTTTGAAGGCTTGCGTGTTTTTTCGCATAAACAAATGCCAGGCAAGCCGATTACATGATACTATCGATAACAGCTATGGGGGCTGCCAGCCTGTTTCGGAATGTGCGCGCAATAACAGCCCTGTCTTAAATTTACCGATTTTCCCGCAATTCGTATCGGTTGTTAATCAAATAAATAAAGTATATTTATATACAAATAAAATATAAAACGTCGGCATAATTAAAGCACAATGGAAAATTATAAGCTCAGAAACGCACTGAGCTTGAAGACAAGGCACTTTAATTAAAGCGTTGTACCGTTTGCTGTTTGTATGTTTATGCAAGTAAATCGATTTCTACAGCAGGACGAGCACACTAACACAGGGACAGCAGATAGAGAGAGAATCCAAACAAACAAACTGACGATATAGTAATAACGGTGCTTTGTGCCAGCCTATCGAGACTTGCAATAAGCCTTAACCTTAAATGCTTATTGAATCCTGTCGGCAAACAGCTTTCGAATTTGTTGTCCATTGCGCCATGAAGCGTCAGAACGTTAGAACCCTGTCGCTGGTGGTCTGCACATTTACCTATTTGCTCATCGGCGCGGCAGTCTTTGACTCGCTCGAATCACAAACTGAAGCGAGGCGTTGGGAATTTTTGCAAGGTACATATATATGCGATTAATATATATCCCCGGCAAGATCCAAATGCACACTAACTACAATTCGCACTCACTCTCATCTGAAAAAAAAAAAAAAAAATTCTGAAAAAAATGAAATCCAAATCATGTTCATATCATTCGATTCCAGCACAGATTAAAATACATATCCAATTTTATATTTTTTAATTGTTATAATAAGTCCTTTTATTTCGTCTTTTGATCTGTGCCATCCAATTGTATTTTATGCTATTTTTTGTTAAATTTATTGATTGGCTATGAATTTGATTGTTGATATTGGAATTGGGATAAAATTTTAATTTCATGCTGTAGCCATAAAGAATAATTTCGTTGAGAAATACAATGTGAGTGCCGAAGACTACCGGATGATCGAAATAGTAATAATAGAGAACAAACCACACAAAGCGGGACCTCAGTGGAAATTCGCTGGCGCATTTTATTTTGCCACTGTGGTGCTGGCAATGATTGGTAAATATTAAACAAAATTAATTGAATTTGATTTGACTCGAAGAATTGTAATATAGCAATTTAAATGTATTAAATTTAAGAAATACAAATAATGTTAATATTACGAATACAAGTAAGTACACATACACACACCCCCTCACCCCAACACCTACACATTTATGCTTGAAAAAAAGTTCAAGCTGAAGCTTCGCTTCCTATTTGCTCTACTCTTTCTCTATCTCCATCTCTCTTATTCTCTTAGACGAGCAATGGCAATGACATTTCGGCTTATGTGATTCTATTAGTGTTGCCAACTTAGCCTATTTCAGGCTAAATTGATCCTATTTGAAAGTGGTGTTGCCTATTGATAATAACCATTGCAAATGAGCATGGAATAGACCGAAATTTAGATTATGCGGAAAAATATAGAACAGACCCAAGTGCTGTCTATGCCATCTAATAATTATAAACATTAATGTACATCAACTATTTAACATTTCAACTCTTACCCACATGAAGTATATACATATGTACTTAAGCAGGTAATCCGATTTAGCTATGCGTGTTTGTTTGTCTATAAATCTGTCTTTATGTCTGTTTCGTGCTGTGCACTAAAGTGAAGAGCTAAA